ACTAGAATCTGGTGACCCTGGCACGGATGATGGACGCTTTTATTTTCATTTGGGTGATGCCTTACAGAGAGTTGGAAACAAAGAGGTATAAGTTCTACGAATTCTTGCAATGAAATTGCAAAAAAGATCAGACCTCTACTGTGCTGTACACCCTGCCTTGAATCTAGGAAGCTGCTTAAGAAAGGGTTTGTCTTTGAGAATGTGAGTAATCCCATTATCTTAAAGCAGAATTTGGTGGTACAGTGTAGGCTGCAAGATGCCAGCTATAGAAACTGAAAATGAGAGCAAGGACTGCTGATGGTTTGTGACTACCAGGAACAGAAAACTGGCTGTTATAAGCCAAGAATAGAGAGGACAACCAGGGAGGCCTAGGCAGATTCAATGAATGAGATTTTGGTTAACAGTGAAATATATCTCTTACTGCTACCCTTCAAGGTGGAATTAACCTACAGCACTTTTCCCCTGGGGCCAAAAATAGATTGTGTGTGTGTTTGCTATACTGAAACTGTGAGAAAACAGCTTCTGGGAGTTTGGGAGCTCAATGGAAAAAAATGACATCCATAGTACAAGGCTTTGTGAAGTCTGAATTTGTGCTGGGGTTTGCTGTATACCTTTGTTTTAGATAAGGAGGCAAAAGAGAAAAGGCGAACCTAGGTATTTGTTTGCAAGGACCCCTTTCTTCATACCCTAACAGAAACAAAACTAGATCATTATGGCTTTTAGTTTATGAAATGTAGCAAATTGAAATTTACATATGTGGGTTAGTTCTGCTTCTTTAAAAGCCTCGCTATTTGAAAATAGAGGTTGACTATTTCTATTGACACAAAATGTAGGCCTCTGGCACATGTTACATTTAAGATGTGATTAGTCAGTTAATCAGGTCTTAAGTTGTTACCCAGCCACATGTTGATACAATCAATGGCGTGATAAAACAAGCCATAAAAATGGGTAATAACTTTGTGGCTGGTTCTTATCACACCATTAATTGAACATGTGGCCAAGCTGGGGCTCCTAGCCATGGAGTGTACCTCTATAGCTAGGAGCCCTGGCAGGTTCCTAGCTGCGGGAGTGCAGCCTAGGAACCTGCATCAGCTGATAGGGCTTCTAGCTGCAGAAGCACACGGTGTGCTCCCCTAGCTGGGAGCCCAGATCAGCTGATGGGTCTCCCAGCTCAGGAGCTTTCTACTTGCTGGTGCAGGAGGAGCTTAGGATTGTGATTGGCAGGAGGAGCTTAGGATCAGGATTGGCAATAAGGTGTGATGGAATCCATTGCTGGATTGCACAATTGCACTTCTTGCCATGCACATGTGGCCTAGCAGGAAGTGCGATCGTGGGCATCCTGCATCAGATCCCATCGTGCCTTTGCTTGCATATCTGCCAGGGGCTTAACAAAAGGTTCCCTGATAAGGAGTAGGAACAGCAGAAAACAAGAAAGCATTATACATATGTATACGTAAATCATTTATATTATTTATCAGTGATCAGGAAATAAAAAGTACTGACATTCAAGCATTGTAGGAATACAGACTTCTGGAATATCTCAATACCAGTCAGTGAAATAAATGAATCTGCTCATAGTACTACTGCAGTCAACGTAGTACTGGTCTGAATAAGACTTTGGCTATGATCCCGTTTAGAACCAGATAAGCAGATGTGATCATTGGATTTTGTTATAAAATAACAAATGTTTTAGAACTGTCATAACTCCTCATAGGACAAATGTCCTGAAGGGAAAATATGCATGCCCAACTGACTATGTGATAGCACTTGGATTTTTAAACTAGGATTATCTGATATGGAAGTAAACATAACAGAACCAACATTCACATGCTTTTTTGCTCAAAGAAAATGATGTTCCCTGTGATAACCTGGTTTGTAAGGATCAGACTACAGCATCAAACATTATGTTGTAACCAGGTGTGGTGCTATAGAGAGGCTGGGGGGGGCCATAGCCACCCCAAAACTTTCCTTAGCAACTCCATAGCCACCCCTCCCAGTGCCACCCCTTCGTTGCCACCCACCCTATGCAGCTGAACCTGCCCTGCTCCCACCTGCAAAGACACAGCACTCCTGGCCCAGCTGAATAAGCCCCACCTCAGCCCCACCACTGAGAAGAGGCTGGACCACATGATCAGTAATGATCATGTGAAATAGCCATAATTATGAGTAGACTTTCTTCTATTAGGTCCATATTAGGAGTTATGAATTTGACATTGGTAAATTTTAAGGAAATGTATAGAAAGAGGATTTTTTTGTTTCAAGTGATTCTCTAAGGTGGTGCACTGAATTAAAAAGGAATTTGTTAATTAAAGGACTATATAAATAAAGTTATGTACAGGAGGTGCTTAATAGACTTTTAGGTCCCTAGCACACATTACATGTCTGCTTTGATTATGGTGTTGGAAGTGTGGTTGTTGGGATAGGGAACCAGGTCCCCTGGTGCCACTAAATTAGTATGTGCCAGTGGCCCTTGTTAGTAAAAATAATGGCCTATTGCTGCAGCTCTGTTGGGTGGTAGAGTAATAGAGCTTCATGTAGTCTTTCCCACATTGAGATAAATTTGTAACAAAAATATTTGAACAGGATCATCAGACCTGGAAGGGACTGATTCCTGTCCTCTGTTACTTCAGGCAACCATATTATATCATTTCCATTCATAAATCATGGCTAGCAATAATATACACCCTGACAGTTGCAACCAGCTCATAAGTAGCCCTAGAAATCATTCTCCTCAGTAAGTAGTTGAAACAAGCAATTCATATTGGCACCTGAGTTAGCTGTAGATGTATTACAGACAAATACAGGCAGTGAACACATAAAGTCTGCAAGTTGCTATTGGTGTTCTAATCTACAGACTGAACAACATACGTTATAAATCATGCTTCCATTGCAGAGGCTTAACCAAGACAAGCTCAGACCGTAAGATATACTGTAAATTACCAAGGTAAAACATATCAATTTTTTATGACCCATTCCTAAAGATACAATTTAAGAAATCTCCTCTGAGATATTATGATATTTTATAGTAATCCAAAAAACCCCTCTGAGAATCTGTCCCTGCTATACTATTTATCAGCAGTGCTTCAAACTAAGAATATATTATAGCAATAACCTCCTTCTTAGATCATCAGAGCTGTGCTCACCAGCATATCTTCCAGTATTTTAGAAGAGAGAGGAAAGCACAGGCACAGCTCCAAGGAAACAGTTGTCTTGGGTACAGCTTTTGGTGATTATTTAAAATTTATCTTTGAAATCTAGGCCATCCACAGAACTGAAAAAGTAATTTCTTATGTTAGCTTTGTACTACACTAAGTGATTAGTTAAGATGACACTTCAACATTTTTAAGGAAGAATTTCATTAGGTAAAGAAATGCAGTTGTTTACTTCCTTTAGCTAAGTGCCTGTGAAGGCTAATTAAATCAAAGCACACACAATTCCTGCAGCTGTTTCCTACACACACAAAAACCCCCCCAAAACCTTTCCTTGGCGGCAGACAAGGAAACATCCTGGGAGACATTTTGTGGTCCATTGTGTGTAGTAGTGAATTAACCTATCTGCTTAAGTTATATTTAAGTTATTTGCGGCACATGGTACTTTAATGGATGAGTGCTTCAGTCTCTAGTTAGAGAACCAGTGTCATTCCTAGTTTACAGATAGAGAACTGAAATCTCACAGTTTGAGTTCCTTCGCCAAGGTTGCATTTGTCTGTGGCAGAGCAGAGAACTGAATCTCACTCCTAGGTTAGTGCCAAGACCACTGGATAATGCTTCCTTTTAGTTTTTTCACTTACATTGATGAATAAAGACTGGAAGGTCTCACTATCCTGGTTAGCTTTTTTTTTTTTTTCCTAACCTTTTTTACAGCTTTTCTCTCTTCCGTCCCCCACCTCTTAAAGTACCTTTTTATCTGAAAGACTATAACCATATCCAAGTAGGAAGCATATTATTTTGCAAAGCATGAATGGCATCCAGTTGTATTGAAGAAATGTCCTTCCTTCTTTTTCTTTAAGTTGATAAATTGTTCCTTTCTGTTGAAGCTTGTTTGTTAACAATTGCAACTTTTTTAGGCATACAAATGGTATGAGCTTGGATACCAGAGAGGTCACTTTGCATCTGTTTGGCAGCGCTCCCTCTACAATGTGAAGGGACTGAAAGCTCAGCCTTGGTGGACAGCAAAGGAAACTGGTTATGCTGAACTGGTGAAAGTGAGTGAATTTTTCTCTTTTAAAAAAAAATAGTTTGCATTTTATTTTTTATATAAAATTAGTCTAAGAAATGTAGGTATTTAGATCTGCTGTCCCAGATCTCCAGTGTCATTTTTGAGGTTTCCACAAGATGTTTAATTAACATGCTACAAAGTTAACTGAGGGGGTTATAAAAAGGATGCTCTCTAGACATTGAATGGGGGGAGTGGACACTACACCCTTGCTAGTGGTCATGCTTTTCCATCACTGTATTTAGGGTTGGGACATGTTCTACCTAAACTCCCACTGGAATAGTGCAGTATTTGAAAAGTATTCCTAATCCCATAGAGCAGGGGTGGGCAAAATATGGCCCGCAGGCTGGATCCGGCCCATGAGGCCATTCTATCTGACCCACAGAGCCCCTAAAAAATTTAGAAAATTAATATTCATCTGCCCTTGGTTCCTGTTAAAAAAAAAAAAAAAAAAATGACAGGAACCAAGTACAGTAGGACCCAGGGGAAGCCCGGCGGGATCCTACAATAGCAGGGCCTGCTCGGCCCCGCCCCCCCCAGCTAGAAGCCCCAGCTGGAGCTTCTGGCCTGAGACCACATGGCTGTCTCGCAACAGAACCACAGGTAAGGGGCAAGCGGGGGGAGGGCAGGGGAGGACCCCAGGGAAAAGTGGCCCGGGGAAAAGCTGAGTGGGGGGGAAGCAGGGCCTCACCCGCCCCGTGGCCAGTGCCCCACACTGCAGCCACTCGCAATCTACCTGGGGGCTGCTTGTGCCTGCTCCGGACAGCCCCGCAGGCTGCAAGTGGCTGTAGCAGGGAGTGCCAGCCAAGAGGCAGAGGAGGGGCCACTTTTTCCTGCACTCAGCTTTTCCCCGGGCTCCTTCCCGGCGTGGAGGAAAGCAGACCCTCCCCTGCCCCGTGGCCTGCACCCTGCACTGCAGCCACTCACAGACCGTGCGGGGCTGTCCAGAGCAGGCACAGGCAGCCCCAGGTGGGCTACAAGTGGCTTCATTGTGGGGCACAGGGCGGGGAGGGGCTGCTTTTCCCCCCCATCACGCTCAGCACCACCTTGTAACCCAGCCCCGCTGCCAGCGTGGCTCCGTGCCAGCTCCAGGCTCACCTGTCGGGGCTGCACATGGCGACAGCAGGTGCAGCCCCCCTGCTTGCCATGCCAGGCAGCGTTTGCCACTGTCGCCTCTGGGCCACTCAGTGCATGAGCTCTGGGTGGGCAGCAGCAGCCAACACTGCCAGCTGCATGGGCTGCGAGTGCCTGCAGCAGGGAGCGCCAGCCATAGGGTAGGCGAGGGGCTGCTTTTCCCTGCACTCAGCACCAGGTTCTTCCCTGCCAGCGAGCGGGGGGTCGGGGCTGTGCACTGCCCCCCGCCTGTACCGTAGGTCTGGGGGGTACTGGGAGTGAGTGGGCAGGGAGCCAGCCAGCAGGAGCACGGGGCCTCCACCGGTGCCCCAGGGCCAGTGCCGGTGAGACCCAGAGCAGGGCAGCTGGAGCACAGGATCCCGTCCGGCAGGGGCTCTATGGAGCCGAGCCAGCTCCCCACTTTCCCTGCTGGTGAACCCCAGCTTGGCTCCACAGACCCCTGCCAGCCTGTGCTCCACTTTGGGCCCCACCAGTGCTGGCCCTGGGACATTGGTCCAAAGATGGTGACTAGGGAGCAGGGCACCTGTCAAGGGGCGGGGCTACCCATGTAGCCCTCAACAGTCTGCCAAAACGGGGTAAGCGGCCCTCCGCCCGAAACAATTGCCTGCCCCTGCCATAGAGCATAATATAAACTGCCCTAATTATGGGAATCCCTAGAATTACAGAAGTAAAAATGTAATAAGTGACCGAAACGAGTAGGAATAATGAAGGGAACATAACAAAACGTAACATAAGAAAACGGCATCAGCAGTGCCCAGAAAATACCCATAATAAAACATAGGCATAACTATGCCTAAATCATCCCCTACCAGTGGCTGTCCAACCTCATCTTGAACACTTCCAGTGATTTCCCTAATCAGTCTATTCCATTACCTCACTATTCTAACAGGTTTTCCAGATATCTTGTCTAAACTTACTTTGATACACCTTCAAGCCATTGATCTGCATCCTCCTCTCTGCATCAGGGGAGAAAAGGTGCTTTCCCTCTTCTTTATGGCAGCCCTTCAAATATTTGAAGACTGCTGTCATGTATCCTCTTAAGTTAAGCTGAACATGCCAAACTTCATGTAATCACATCTTGTGATTTTTTTTCAGTATTTGAAAACATTGTTAAGCTAAATATTTTTCATGATTATTGGTTTTTTTAAGATGTTTATTTTACTTTTTATCTTTTACTTTATATACATTTTTTAAACCCTTCCAATAATCTGCCTGCCAAAATTGTCTGCAGGCAGATTACTGATAGATCATCTTTAATATGTTTTTCTTTATAGTTGCAGACTATTATAGTTAACCCTTACTGATTAAATTTCTCTGTTTAAGTTTTATTTGATATATTTAACAGGAAAGGAACAGTGAAAGATCACTAAAGGCTAAAAGTAAGATTTAGGCATATAGAAAAAGCTATGGAGAGAGGCTAATTATTTGGCCAGATAATCTTGAAACGTGCTTTTAGTATTTGTGAACTGATCTTAACAGTGTTTTGTTTGAGGAATTATTAGCAAAATAATTGGAAAAAAAAAGAAGAGGTGAATCAACTTTAATGTACAAGACCAGTAGTATAGCTACTGGCGTGGGTGAGCAGGGGCATCATCACCCCAGGTGCCAGTTTAGAGGGGCACTTGTACAGCAGCTGCAACAGTAGCAGCCACTGCTGTGTGGGGAGCCTGTGTGTTGGCAACAGCAGCAGCTGCCAGTGTGAGGCAATGCTGCACCATTACAGCAGTATCCAGGGTCTTTTGAGTCACTGGAAAGACTGTCTCCCACTCAGCACACTCCCTAGCTATGCTTCTATATGACACTGTAAGATGATAACCAGTTATCTCATCAAATATTGCTCACAAATGTACCAATGTTTCATTCATAGGCTGTGTTTCTGGTTACAGAGCATTGTGTCTCAATATTATTGGTGATGATTTGTTTGTGTATTTTATTTTAAATTGGGAATGTTTTACATTCTTTAATCAAACCTTTGTAGCTGAAATTTGTGAATCCAAAATATAAGTTAAAGGCATCTCAAAAGCATACATGTGTTGTTGTTTTCCCCCCTGTGACTTAATAAAATTATTTGCATGTGTGAAAAAGCTAAACCTGATTCTAATAATGTCCTGTGCTATAAGCAAAGTTTGCAGTAGCCTTCTCAGGAGAGCAGTAAAATACAAAAAGCATCTGTTTATAAATTTGAAAGATAGTCTGGCTTCCATTCACATTTTTTCTTAAAAGTAGGAAATCTGTTGTTTCCCTCCCCACACAGTGAAAAGTACTCCATACCCATTCTTCCCTGTTTTGAAAGCTACCAAATTGAATTGTAGAATATTATACTTTTCAGAGACTCAGGGAAGTGGGGAATCGGGCCCATTCTCTCAGATCTTTTCTACATGTTTTGGAACATGAGCTAGTGGTCTCTGTAGATGAGCACAAACCATGTTCAGTGTTATGGCAACATAACAGTAATGAAAGCTTACTCTCTGTGAATATATTCATGGTTAGCTGACACAATGCTAAATACTCTGCAATTACATGGCTAATTCAGATATCCAAAAATATTAAAGAAATGATTTAAGCTGTATCTTGAAAACATACAACATAAAGGGATGCTGATATTTGGATAAACCCTGTTCTGTGCTTGTAAGCCAAGAGGTTAACACCCTGGAGCTAGATTTTTAAAGCCCTATAGCTGCTGCCTGTACTATGTTTAAGCCTAGGGATTCATTGAAGGAACAGGGACAAACCTGTTCGGTAGCAAGCATCTGATTCCTTAAAGTGCAACCAATATATAAGGGCAGCATGAAAAAGGTGTATTCAGTCACTGGTACGTAGGTGTGCTATGTACATGGAATCTGTGTATCTATTTAAGGCATCATTTAATATATTTGAGAGCCTTAGTTTCTAAGATTCAGGAAATGTTTCCTATGTTAAGATTTCAGTTACAGGAAAACATACCTTTTGTGTTTGAACCTAAAGCAAACTAAGTCACATATGGAGCTGACTTATTTCTTGGGTACAGTTAGCTACTCTTCTGGCAGCCTTATCGATTCATTGCACCATTCTGTAGTATTTTGTTTAATCCCAATACATTACTTAACAATATTACTCATTAAAATATATACAAGCATTAAGATATTTCTTGTATCCCAGTAACATCTTCACCAGTCTGAATGAGTAAATAAGGAACTGCCCAAGTAACTTTCCACGTAATGTGGCTTTGACATTTTGAAAATATTCTGATCATGCTTTGTCAAAAAATGTACTGCAGTGAGTAAAAATTATTGATTAAAGCAACACTTGTATTGTCAGGGTTTTTTTTCTGACAATGCAGAATTTATTAATTAAGAAATTTAGTCATGGTTCATTCAGCTTATGGTTCAAGTACCACACATTTTTATCTGGAAGAGAATAAAATTAGTGTCACTCCAAACACCCATACTTCATAAATAGTCTTAAAAAGACTTGTGTGTGAAGAAGGTGCAACATTACCTGCAGTGCTGACACCTGGGAAGAAATGCTCCACCCTGGGTTGCATAGGCATGTGATTTGGATCTGAGGGATTTTATTACAGGTCTCCATAATAGTGCCTCCTGCCATGCCAGGCCTTGAACCTCTGGCATAGCTGGACACAGCACGTAGTGACATGACTGAGAGCCCAGGGTACAGATGCAGTAGTGACTTCTGGTTGCCTTCAAGCCACTGCTGTGATTATGGTTGTGTGGCTGCCAGTAGCAGCCAGTACTTTTTCACACCCCCAAGTTGGTGCCTGCGGCAGTTGTCCTAGGTACCCTGCCATAGTTACACCAGTGACAGAACATGTGATTTTTTTAAGATCTGGGATAAAATCCATGTTTAAACTAAAGTTTGCTCGTGGCCCTAGGAAAAAATCACTAAAGGCCCCAGTTAATATCAAAATTAAATTACCATATCTCATGGTGTATAGGTCGATGCGGTATATAAATTGACCCCGTTTTTCTGATCCAAAAAGTTAGGAATTTCATAGATCTGGTATATAAATAGACCAAACTGTTTGGATCAGAAATATGGGGTCAACTTACACTGGCCCCTGCGCGCTCTCGCTGTGGGCCAGGCACCTAGGGGGTGCCCGGCCCGCAGCACTGTTTGCAGGGGACAGGGCCAGGCTTGGCACTCAACTGGCGCAGCCCCAACCCCTGCAAGCAGAGCTGCCTGGGCCACTCCAGTCAAGCACCAAGCCTGGCACTGTCTGCTGCCAGGAGTGCTACTGAGCCCAGCCCCGTTCCCCGGGAGCAGCACCAGGCTCAGCACTCGGCTGACCCGGCTGGGTTCAGCGCTCAGCAGCACCACTCTCAGCAGACAGGGCCAGACTTGGCGCTTGGCTGGCATGCCCCCATCTCCTGCAAGTGGGGCAAATCCTGGCTGGGTTCTGGGGCCAGGGAGGGAGGTTAAACACCCTTTCTGCTGCTCAAACTTACTGCTGGCAGCAACTCTGGACTACAAATGTGTGGACTACAGCCCTGCTGACTTGAAAACATCTAGTTTCTCTAAACAATCCCTAACTTGTTCTGTCACTATTCTAAACTATTTGACTCCTTCCCTATCTTTGCTGCCAACTGTGCTCATCATCTGGTAGCTGCCCCTGTTCATGAAGACTGAAAATAAGTGTTCTCTGCATTATCCATAACTGGATTGTCTTCTGCATTCCATAAGGGACTTCTTTGGTTTTCCTCTTACTCTTGACATATTTGTAGATTTGTTTTTTTATTTCTTTGTATGTCCCATGCCAGCTGCATCTCAGATCATGCCTTGGCCTTCCTAATTTTCACCCTGCACACCTATGTGATACTCTTAGGCCTTTCCCTAGTAATATGACTAAGTTTCCATGTTTTGTGTGAATTTTTGTTTCTTGAGCTTTTTATGCTGTATGAAAGAAGACATATTTCCTGGGATTTACGTGCTGGCTGTCATTTAACTAAAGAAACTAGAGTGGAAAATGAAGCCATTGAACTGAAATGAAGGACTGATGCATTCAGAGATTTTGTGTCTAGAAGGGACAGTTAGTCATCTAGTCTGTCCTCCTGCAAAACATACACCAATACATTTCACTGAGTTCTGCACTGAGCACAGACAAAGGCACCAAAATCAGTGAGGGTCCACATTGATGATTAAAATGTATTTAAAACTTCCTACAGAAACTGTTTGCCACATACAAATTACAAATTTAGCAAATGATGAAAATAGTTGTGAAATGGAAATCATTTTGTTATTAGGTTCCTTTTTTGCTATGCTTTTGTTCATGCACACTGCTGTAACATTAAAATTGTAGGTTACAGATAGAAATAAGCTGTTTCAACTTTCAGTTACAAAAAAAAATGCTATGGGAGCAAATAGCAGTGGTTTGAATTCCTCATGCCCATCCTGTGAGGGAGGTAGGGTGTTAGCTTTGATTTTAGGTTCATACTACAGTACATACAAAAGGAGAGACACTTTTTTGAGACAGCTTGCTCACCATTTTCAGGTCATGTATAAAACCTGAAATTTCAAGTCAGATTTTATCTCCTTTTTCATATATGTCCACACTCACAAGTGACATTTTACAGACCTTTCTGAAGATTTAAATCATAATTGTCAAGCTAAGTGGCTTGTTTATCTTATTTCTTTGAACTGTGAAATTCAGTTGGCACTTTGAGTTTCATGTTATTCTAGCAGGTTTTATTGTCTCAAGAGTACTGCCATGTACTAGTGTTCTGTATTTGAGAAGATCAATATTCTTGTTAACTTGCAATATAAAATAATCTATTGAACAGCTCTTGGGCAAATCAAAAAGCAAATTAAAGTGAGGCCAGTCTGCAAGGTGGTGGGGGATTATTGAAATTTTATGATACCTATGTAATTGAATCTGAAAAATAATGCGGGGTTTGCTTTTATAGCCTCAGTATTTCTTGATGGAACTTGAAAATAGCAAAATTTGATAATGATCAATATTGTATTATTATTTTTACATTTTAAAAAGACAAATTTAAAAGGTACTAAAAGCAAATACAACCAGTTTTAAGTACGATAATGATGGCTGTCATGGTAGTCCCTAGAAAGAAACTGGAAGCTTATTCGTGATGAAGGACTTGCTGTGATGGATAAAAGAAAGAGCCTCTTCTTGCCTGAAGATGAGAACCTACGGGAGAAGGGAGATTGGAGCCAGTTCACCCTGTGGCAGCAAGGTACTTAACATGTTCATTAGTCTTTCTTCTCTCCCCTAACTCTACTTTTTTTACTACTCAGTGCAGTACAATAAGGAATAGTAACATAGCTTTGCAAGACCAAATGATGGTATCATTTCTGGATCTGTCATTTGAATCTTTAGAAAGAGGAAACTGATAAAACTGTATTTTTTGTCTTGGGAACAATGAGCATGAATTCTTTATGCTAAATCACATTCCCACAAGCACCCCTAAAATTCTGCACACCAATATACTGTTACATCTCTTGACTAGGCTGCCAAGATTTTCTTCTAGCAAAGTCGGTAATGCTGCATGAGTACAAACCAGCCTGAGGGAATGTTAGTAGGTAGCAAAAGGTGTATCTCTAATTCTTTGTCTCCAACCAGATTCAATTCTGTCATTCAGAAATAATGTGAGCTGCAGAATATAAGTTGTAATAAGCTAGCTGCTCTTTCCC